GATGTTTGAATTCGTATAAATAATTGCGGATAAACATAATCAAATAGAGGATGAACATCTCATTTTAAAATATAAAAAATCTAAAAAATACAATTAGAATAATTATCGAGTTCCAACAAAATAAATAATTATTATCTTTTTAAAAAATTATATTATTAAACCAAATATAAATTACTTCGTTATTGTACATAAATTAAATTATAAAAAAATTGGATTAAAAAATTACACAAAAAATGAGGAATTTCAAATAGTTAATTTGATACTAATATCGATATATTTTTGTCAAATTTTTATGATATCATCGCTTTCTCAAAATCACGTAAAGTCATATTATAACATCGACTGAGATAAAGAATAAAATGAAATATTAAAAACACGATGTATCTCGCTGCATTGCGCGAGTACTCTTCTAGTATATATATATATATATATCAAATCAAAAATTTACTTATTATATTAATCCATCCACCATGTGTTAATTAGTTAATGAGAAATTTTGTATGCAATTTTTTACTATATCTTGTACATATATACCTAGTTTAGCCATGCATACTTTGATACCCACTGTCCCACTTCCATTGATTGACTTCTCCTCTTCTCCCTCTCTTTCTACTGTGTTGGATTTTAGATTTGTCATCATATTACATGCTTACAAGTTGAATATTATGATAAAATAAGTTTTGGTTGGTTTATAATCAAACTTATTTTTTCAGTTTCAACATTATATTTTATGTTTTTTTTTATTAACCTGGATATCTAACCTGCTATACGAGCCGATTAATCCCAGGGCTATCACCTGCTTTACAGATAGCCTGGAGTCACCGTATTTGAACCAGCATGGCCACAAGGGAATTTTTCTTCCTTCTTGGATTTGAATCTGTGACCTCCTGCTACTTTTTAATATTTGCTGTGCATCTATGTGAACTTCCAACATGAAAAAAGTGACTTTACCAATATGATTTTAAGGGTGTGGGGAGATTAAAAAAGGCTTTCACAACAACACAAATGTCAAAATGCATGTTTTTCCTTCCAATTTAGATGCTAATTGATTTATTCACTACTTGTAACAAAAGAAATTCATTAGACACATAATTTGTTAAGCTTATGATGTTATCAACTTTTCACTTCATTTATCACAAAATAATCTTCCTTAATTTCTTTTTGAAGTAAATTAAAATTTACCAGGAGGTCACATGTTCAAATCCAAGGAGGAATAAAAATCTTTTTGTGGTCACGGATGTTCAAATGCGGTGACTCCAGACTATCTATAAAGCAGTTGATTGTTTTGGGATTAGTCAGTTCGCATAACGGATTGGATATCCAGATAATAATAATAAAAATTAAATTAGGGTGACTTTGTGAGTGATGAGCTCTTGGTTTTGTAAGAAACTATGTCCACACAAATTGGTTTGAATAATAAGCAATGAATTAGAGTAATAAATTGACTACAAACATGGACATTTATGACTTGTGCCAAACTCACAAGCATATGAACATGTTTCTTGATGTCACAACCCAATTATTGACATGGGGAATCTTTCTTCATAATTTGTAAAGCGGGATTTTTGACATTTTCTTTTTGTTTTATTTTAAAGAAGGATTTAATTTGTAACATTCCCAATTAATCAAGATGTAGGACTATTATAGCCAATTTAATACAAGAAATGGCACATTTTTTTATCCATCTTCAATTATATAAATTCCTTTTCTTTAATTAACAAATCTAATTTCCTTTTTTTTTGAACTTATATAAATTTCTTTTATGTAGTAAGAAACTTGAATATCATGTATTCAAGTCATGTATTAATTTAGGCTTAATTTACCTTTCAAAAAGATCATCAATATATAGCTTATTATCGGTTTTGTTGTTGTATATATGTGATGGCAAGAATGAATTAAAGGGTTTGTTGTTAATGATCGATTTTCAACTCGTATCTCAAATACGTGTATTATATAAACTTGAATGTGTATGTCAATTTTGAATATAAAAGCATAAGGTTAAGCTTCTGACATGAAGAGTGGGATGAAGGTTGTGAAAATGTCAGTAAATTAATTAAACATGTTTAATTTGTAATTATTTTCCATACCTTAAAATTAAAATACAGTAGTTTTGATTATTTCCTTTTAGGGTTTTTATGGGGAACGTAGGCCATGGACACCCATGTGAGTCCATGTGCAGTGTCTTTATCTAACAGCCCCACCCTTTTACATATTTTATTTGTATTTTAGAATAAATAATCCCTTAACTTCAACTCCATTCTCATTCATCTCTGATCTAACTTTGAACTTCTTCTTCTATTGGATCCCTAAAACATTCATCTCTCTGCAACTTTCAACTTCAACTTCAACGGCAAACATACCTTGCTTTTAGATCTCTCATCAATATCAGATTTAAAGAAATCAAGGTACATGTTCATTGGCTTATTGATCAAGTCTTTAATTCTTTTATCTCTTCATGTCCTATATTCTCTCATCATATTTAATTTTCTTTCATCGTCGATATTGCGTTTTCTAGATTAAAATCCTCTTTAATCTTCATCTCATACTAGTTTGTCTGTAAAAAGAGATCATCCATCAACTTCGGATGTAGAATAACTTGCTTTTTTTTAATTTGAAACTTGATGATAATCATCTTCTTAACCAGAAATTCTGATTATATATGAAAACGTTTTTGGGGAAAATTAAGAAGATGTTAGATTTGAATTTCAAAAACACCAGGATGAATCTTTGAAACCCAAAAAGTTCTTGGATAGACGTGGGAAACCACATGTGAGAAGTGAATTCGGATCGTCGCTTAGAACTCGGTATCTTGTAAGTTAGAAAAATGATCCAAAAGGGAGCATCAGTTTTGTCTGCTTAAAATGGTTTATCATTTCTTGAGGTTTTGATGACAACATCTTTCAAGTTTATCTAGCTTCTTGTTGTTGTTGTGAAGAAAGAAAGTCAAAAAGGTAATTTTGTAAATGGACTAATTCTTGAACGATGATCAGTAATGAAATCATAAATACTAGTTTCTCTCTATCTTTAGATCATGAACTCGAATTCACTGTTTAATTAGTTAAAAATGATGTTTTGTGTTATTAATTAATTAAGGTGTAACTATTTCTAGGTTAAGAAAATGCACACCTCAAGCCCACTAAAGAAAGAATTTCTCAAGAAATGGATGGAGGGTCTTCAAATATGTTGTTCTTCAAAGAAGCAAATGAATGTCTTGGAGAGAAAGAAGAAAATTAAGCTTTCTGCAGATATTGCCATGGCTTCTGCTAAAAAGACACCAACGTCTTGGAGCAATGCACTAATTTCCTACGCCAGGAGAAACGAAGAATACATGATTCTGACCGACCAGTTATTAGGCCCTGAATCACAGTTCAATCTACAGAAGAGTACAGATAGAATGATCGGTTTCCATAAGAGGGTTCAATGCAAGAAAATCTTGAAAAGGAGGAATACTTACAGTGCTGGTAAACGAACGAAGAAGAAGACGGGGCATCCTCGATTGATTTCAGCTACTCTTATTGCAAAAAGATTGGTGAAGAAGAGGACTAAAGTGCTTAAAAGGCTTGTACCTGGTGGAGAATCCATGGATGAATTCTCCCTCATCAAAGAAGCATTGGACTACATTCTTTCTCTTAAGGTACAAGTTGATGTGATGAGAAGCGTTGTTACTGCAACTGAGATCTTGAGTAATGAGAAGTCGCTGAAATCTGTTGAATAAAGAACTAAAACATAGAACTTGAAAGAAATCATGTACAGGTATTGCAGTTGCACGCATGCACCACTAGTTTCTTTCTTTCTTTTTCATTTATTTTTCATCGATCGTGTATCTAACACATTTGTGCCAGCTAGCTAGTACATTTGATCTATGCAAATCCCCCCTTTAATTTCATATGAATATGACAAAAAACTTGATAGCATGCACATATGGAATTCTGACTTAAGAGACATGTGATACATAATTAAGTCAACCCCTTGGTGTTGGCACCTGTAGTTTCTACTTCTGAATTCTTTTCTACAGTACTGTGTATTTTGTTGTTTGATCTACTTTAGAAATTAAAATTTTCAGAACCACCATGAAAACTGTGGAGATACACACACACACACATATATATATATATAATGAGTATATTTATTGTGTCCTCAAAGTATTTTTCTAATAACTCGTGAAAATGGCAACTTTTGGAAATGGATTAATCGTGGGGTTTGATTATATATTTAGTTTCTCCATTAGTTTTCAGTTTGGCACCTTGAGAAAGAATCACGAACGTCAAAACATCAAAGGTTTTAATATTAAGCATCCTCGCATATCCTATTTGATGATGTGTATATGTATGTCTTGTATATAAACACTGGTTGGAGTACGTCTTAAGAATATGATTAAGCTGGTTATACATACGTAAAGCTACATATATATATATATATATATATATATATATATATATATATTCTTTAATTTCTATCCAAGGAAATCAAAGAATATGTATATAAAACCAAAAGGTAGAAAAACATATATACAAAATAAAGGAGTAGTTACGTTCTTAGCTAGGTAGATATATGAACTAGGCAATTTAGCGATTTGCATTGGTAACATTTAAGCCATGTGTCCGAATAATACAACATAGAGATCGAAATTAGACTTGTCTAGCTAGTCATATATATATATATAGAGAGAGAGAGAGAGAGAGGAGTGATCATATGAAAACCGCCCTAATTTGTGTAAACCGTGCAAACCACCTTCATCTGTCGATTTCATTGTTTAATCTTATGAAA